AGGGTAGACAGAGAAGAAATGTTTTCGCCTGATAGAGGAATTAATGACAAAAGTGGCATCAGTTTAAGTTAAAAGGCAGAATGTTTAGAGGAGGTATGAGGAGAAACCTTTCCACCCAGAGGATAATGGGAATTTGGAACTCACTGCCTTTAAGAGTGGAACCCTCATAACATTTAAGAAGTATCTTGGTGTGCACTTGCGATGTCAAGGCATACAAGGCTATGGGCCAAGTGCTGGAAAATGGGATATAGAATAGTTAGGTGGTTGTTTTTGACCAGTGGGACATGATGGGTTGATGGGCCTTTTACTGTGTTGTCAATTTCTACGACTCTACAGGGACAGCATTGGGAAAATATTTTCGCTTGGGATGAGATACTACCACAAAATTGTATGGGTGGGACAGAACCACAGATTGCCAAATGAGTGCTCTGCCCTGTTTACTATGCTCACAAAGCCAGAAACTAATTGCTGGTTCTCAGTATTCCAGACTCCTTGGCTCAGTCAGGGTGAAAACTGAGCTGTTCAATTAGATTACCTGTCTGTATAACTCTCACCACATGTTAGCATTGAGCTTCCCTTAGCACACCCATCACACACTTCAACCTGTAGGTCATGTCAAAAGTAGCAGTTTATTTTCCTCATTATGCTCAATTAAAAGCCATTCCTTCAGATGTTTGTGTAGTGATTGTAACAAAGTCAACCAGGTGGACCTCATAGAATATGAGTTCTCTGATGGGGGTAGTTAATCTGGTCCAATCAGAGAGCCCTGGCTGATAGTTAAGAACAGGAGTGTCCAACATTCTGTTCACTCTTGAGAGCTGGCTGTGAGGGAGCTGGATCAGTGTCAAGGACTCTCCACGTGTAAATAAGGGGTAATGTGATGATGGGATACCAGCCTCTGTGGAGTTATTTCAGTCTATATTGATAGTTTTATAAATACTCTTGACTATCAGCTTGGCACATTTGGTAATGATCACACCTCAGACTTAGAAGGGTGTGGGCTTACAAATTTGGCCCAGATGAGCTTATTTGCAAAATGTTGATTCTGAACTTTGTGTTAAGTTTAAACTCTATTCAGGGTGTGTAAGATTCAATAAACCATTTGACCATTCTGATATATTTAACTGTTTTGATGTGTGGTTTAACACGGTCCTTTCATAGAAATCTGCTATTACTCCTCCCATCATGCACTGCAGGATAGACTACTGATGATACCCTCACTGATCACAACAATAATACACATTCAGATATAGTAGGAACTGCAGATGCTAGAGAATCCGAGACAACAAGGTGCAGAGCTGGATGAACACAGCAGGCCAAGCAGCATCATAGGAGCAGAACATTCATGTTTTTAATGCAGTAAAACATTTGCAGCTGCTTCACAGAAGCACAATCAGAAAATAAATACTGAACAAATTAGACAGAGGTTGGAAAAGCTTTGTAAAACTCGCAATTCTAAAAAGAAAGAGATGATAAGAGAATTCCAAGCTTAAATCTTAGACAACTGACAGCACATCTGCCAGAGGTGGAAATTGTAGACACAGAAGAGACCAGAATTGGAGGAATGAGGCATTTTTGTAGGGATACATATTATAGATTACAGGGAGGGGATGCCATGGAGGGATTTGAACACAGGACAAGACTTCTCAAATTAAGGAATTTTCGAATTGGCCCTCAACGTAAATCAATTAGCACAGGGATATTCAGCAATTTGGACTTACTACTGAGTTGAAAGATTGTGGGCTCGTCTTCTTGAAGAAATTCCATAGCATAAAGAGTGAAACTTTGCATTTCACATGCCAAATTAAGAGTGTATATATATCAGTTTGGCAGTGGTGTTGTGCAATGTGAAAATCATCAGTTTAGAAATAAAGTTCACATTTAGCCAAATCCTCTCCCTGGCTTGAATCCAGGGGCTGTTTCTAGGAACTATGAGGGGCTAAATTTTTGACAGGCTTTTTACTGCTCATCTGCCTGAATTTTCAGGAAGAAGAGCTGTGGAAACATCCAGAGGAGAGGAAAAATATGCCATTTACATCCAATTCTCTTGGCTTTGGTGTGAAGTATGCTAGATGTCTTCGCAAATTCACTTGCTACAAAACTCACACCAAACTGCATGAGTTGGCAGCTAGCATACTCCCACAACAACCATGGTTAGCAAAAAAAACCTTTCAATATTAACAGGGAGATCCGGTAGGTTCGGGAGGATCTGCATGGAAAACCTGAATGCATTTTTGCCTATATTTTTAACTCAGCTATTTCATTATTACAAGAGACTAGTTTTGTTTCCAATGGTCAGCATCAGGTGACCTTCAGAAGATGGTCCCTGCTGCAGTATTGAAAAGGCTAATGAAGATACAATTTGGAGAATCTGAACTTGAGGAGGAAGGAGGACCAACTTCAACAATGGATTTCAAACATCCAAAGGCTTTGACCTAGTTCATTGATGCCTCTTCAGATATATCGCTGAGTGTTGTGAGGGGGGTGTACTATCTCTCAGCAATACAAAGAGAAAACCAGCAGAAAGGTTCTGAATGCAACACGAGAAGCAGTTTAAAACCCTGTATTAGTGAAGGCTAGCCAGAGAGACAAGCTTGAGTTTACTTAGACTCATATCACTACAGGCAAATTTCACACAATACACACCCCATTGGTTAGCTGTCTTCTATATTTCTGGGGTACCAACTGAGACATCTTGAACATGCCTCCAGCAGAGCACTGCAGGAAAAGGGGTGAAAAATAGCTGAGGGTGTTGGTGATTTGGTCAGCCGCTGATAACACAGGTTCAGCAGCGAGTAGGCCTTCTTCTCTGAGGTTACAGAAGTCTGCAAAAGCCCGATGTTAGCAACATGAGATACCATGGGCTGAATTTTGCAGCTCATCTGACCATGGACTGGAAAGAAGGGCAGCCTGAATTGGATTCTTTTGGCTGTCTGGCAGTTAATTGCTAAGATCTAGCTTTCTGCCCCCTTGTAGCAGAGGTCTGGCACCTCTTCGGTGCTAGCAGTACCGTCTAGATCAGTGGCCACTGCTGGGCCTTCTGCCAGACCTGGAGAAGGATTGTTGCTGAAGGCTGGACTGGAAGTTGCCTCAGCAGGGTCAGCCAGGCAGACAAACGCAACGTGGTGGTGGTGGTGTGGGGGCGGGGGTGGGGAAGTTCCACAATTGGGAAACCCAGGGAAATGAAAGGGAAGGTGGAATGGACAGGGACTCTCTGCTGGAGGAGTAGCCCTGTCTGAAGTGAAGCCACTGGGGTTTACCTGGCTGTCTTGCTACATAGTGTGGGCACCCCTGCCATTGGTGACAGTGTGTAAAGACCCCGAACCGGCTATTCATTGGCCAGCTACAGATTCATTTGCACAAAGGCTGAGTGAGCAGCGTAATATCTCCCCAGTCACTGGTAAAGTTCTAGAAAGGAGCATAGCCAATGGTGACACCTGCCATTATTTGTTCCACTTTTATCTTCTGGCCAACTGACAACCTTCTCCTGTGGGGTATAAAATTATGGCCTGCACTTTAGGCCTGTTAAGAGAGCTTAGCTGCTCCATTTCACTGGAAGTGACTCCTCTGAGCTGATCACTTTCTGCTGTTCCTCTCCTTGCTCTGTCCACTTTGCTGTCTGATGTAGCTGGTTATGGTCATATTAGTCCTTATAAGAGGTCTGATTTAAAGCATTGTTAGTGTCATTCATTCTGTTATGAATGAGAAAACCTCAAAAGTGTATAAAATAACCTCTTAGCAAGTGTTATTGCAAAAGAAACATTCTCCAAACAGTAGGTCAGGGAGCAGCTGTGGTTCTGAGCACTTATTGCAGCATTTACCACTCCATCTCACTCCACCAGCATACCCATCCCAACCAACTACTCCGCATCCGCACGTATCCCTGTTGTTCTGTCTTTCCTTTCTTGGAGATTTTCACAAAATCCCGTGAAAACAACCATTAATCCTGAATATGAGTTGAAGTGCTGCTCTAACTGAACAATTAATGCATGTTTGCAGGAGACCTGCCTCTCCCAAGAAAGTCACACACAAACAATTTAAATGTTTTTCAGATGAGCAATTGAAACAGCATAGAGTATGGGGCTGTGGGTCAAAAGCCGGAAAATTGGATTAGGTAGATGCTTGATGGCCAGCATGGACAAAATAGGCCAAAGGGCCCCCTTACATGCTGTAAAAACTCTATGACTCTATGATTCTAAACAGCACAACGCACATCAGTAAATTCAGGAAGTTGGCTTGCAGCTGGTTCCTTGATGCTTTGGCATTTTTTGCTCATTTTCACCTCCCACAGTTGCTCCTCCATTTTAACATCTTTGTCAGAGTTTCCAATCTTATTTTTACTTTTAGACTCATGTGAACATATGAAAATGATGGTGTGAAATAGATCAGATAACACCTACCAACACTCTGATTGCTGTAGAGCTGTTGTATAAAAGAAACTGATTCCACAATGTCCTTAAGGGAAGCAAACTGCCGTCCTTACCTGGTCTGGCCTACATGTCTCTCTAGACTCACAGCAATGTGATTGACTCTTAACTGCCTCCTGGACAATTAGGAAAGGGCAATAAATGCTGGTTTAGCCAGCGATACCCATATCCCACGAGCGAATAAATTTTAAAAAGCCTAGACATTACTCAAGTTCGGCACAAACATGGGTAACTTATTTCTACCCTCTGAATGGTCCTAGCAACTCTGTATAATTTGGATGAACTTTGTTTTATTAATTCACAGGATGTTGCCATTGCTGTTCAGACCAATATTTACTGTTATTCTCTAATCGCCCAGAGAATGTTAAGAGATAACAATATTGCTATTGGTTTAGAGTCAAATGTAAGTCAGGATAGGTGACAATGGCCAATTTCCTTCCCTAAATGACAACTGATAGCACTACAAAAAGAAGGCCAACCAGGTTAATTATGAGGAGTCTGTGAATGCCAGTCTCATTATACCCACATCATGACAGTGAAAATCAAAATAATGTTGGAAAGTCCCTTTAAGCTTTACCTGTGTTGAGGAAGACTTTCTGGTACATGGTACATGAAGATATTGGCTCGTGTTCTGTTGGCCCAATGAGCAGCCATCTTTACAACAGGGCAAATGATGAAATAGTCCCTATAACAAAAGAATATAAACAAAAAGACTTTATCAGACCAGACATAGAGATATAGGGACATGAGAATAGGTCATTCAGCCCCTCTCAGATGCTGACCAGTCAAACAAGCAGTTGTTAAACACCTCTGGCAGTTGCCACTCAAAAGGTAAGTCAGAATTTTTTTTACTTACCTGATTGTGGAGCTCAGAAATGTAAGTGTGCTCCCACTGGCTCAAATGGACTACAGCCAGCAATAACCAATAACCCTTCTGATATTTTCTTTCTCCATTCTGTTCTGCTGACCTCGGTCAGTTTGAGTCAGCAAATTTTTACCTTACTGGCAAATTATTTCTGGTCATTATGAAAGCATGACCAAATTTAACATTTTGAACTTTATCTCAATTACCTTTGACAGGAAGGAGAATATAACCATATTTAAGTCATCAATGGCACAATCACTTTATAGAACATTTGTAGTTTTATTTATGGAATTGTGGTATGGGAGGGAACAAATTAATTCATTTACCTTTAGCCCCTTAGCCTCGTAACACTGAAGTATTTTAGCTTTTTATCCATTCTGGGTGTAAAACAAAAACTCATTCCTGGCAGGTTCAAATCCAAGCAGGGGTATATCTTTGCAAATTGCAGCATCCAGAAACTGCAGTGTCTACTATCTACAGGGTTCACTTCAACAACTCACCAAGGCTTCTCTTGCCATGGAACACCCTAAATCCACAGCTTCCCCATAGCCCAAGATGTTGGGTTTATTAGCTTAGATAGACAGCTTTTAAGAGATGATGTTATGGAGGTATCCATGATAGTAAGTAGCATCTAGATGATTGAACAGTACAAACAGGGCAATGGGACGCTGCAACAAAAACAGAAATTGCTGGAAAAACTGAGCAGGTATGGCAGCAGCTGTGGAGAGAAATAGGAGTTAATGTTTTGGATCGAGTGACCCTTCCTCAGAACTCAGTGTCCACTGTTCAATCATTTTCAATGATACTTACTATCTTAGATACTTCCACAATATCAGAACCATTCTGAAGAAGGGTCACTGGACCAGAAAATTAACTCTGATTTCTCTCCACAGTTGCTGCCATACCTGCTCAGTTTTTCCAGCAATTTCTGTTTTTGTTTCTGATTTCTAACATCTGCAGTTCTTTCGGTTTTTATGTGCTTAGACGAGACCTTTGGCAAATTCCTGCAGAACAATCTTGTCTGGAGCTGATGCATAACATGATGTAAGGCATTAACAAGGCAGGGCTTTGTCTACACAAGGGCTGGGCAGTAGTCACTCTTACTGATACTGTCATGGAGACTAAATCCTGCCTTCACATTGCAGCAGGAAGATTGGTGGGGATGAGGTCAAGTATGTTTTTCCCAATTGTTGGTTCCTTCACCACCTGCTGCAGACCCAGGCTAGCAGCTATGTCCTTCAGGACCTGACCAGGTCAATCAATTGTGGTTCCTTTGAGTCATCTTGATGGTGGACATTGAAATTTTCCCACCTAGAGCACATTCTGTACCTTTGCCACCCTCAGTACTTCTGCCAAGTGTTGTTCAACATGAAAGGGCACTGATTCATCAGCTGAGGGAGGACGGTAGATGATAATCAGCAGGAGGTTCCCTTGTCCATGTTTGACTTGATGCCATGAGACTTCAGGGGGTTTGGAGTCAATGTTGGAGACTCCCGGGAAACTCTTTCCTGACCGTATACCACTGCATTAGCACCTCTGCTGGGTCTGTCCTGTCAGTGAGACAAGATGTATCCAAAGATGATGATGGTGGTGTCTGGGATGTTGTCTGTAGGGTATGATTCACTGATAAGCTGTCATTTGTCTCTAGACATTAATAAGAAGGACTTTGCAGTGTCGACAGGGCCGTTTTTGCCACTGTCTTTTCTGATGCCAGCTGGTCCACATGCTTTCATTTCATTTTTGAGACTTTATAGTGATTGTTGTACCTGAATGGCATTTCAAAGAAAGTTGAGAATCAACCATATTGCTGTGGATCTGATATCAAGTATAGGCCAGACCAAGTAAGCTGATTTCTTTCCCTGAGGAATTTAGTGAATGAGGTGGGCTTTTCCTGATGAACGACAATGAGTTCTTGGTCATCATTAGATACTCAACTTCAGATATTCATTGAATTCAATTTTTACCAATTGCGTGGAAGGATTTGAACTCAGGTCCTTAAAAATTTCTGGATTAGTGGGTCGAGTGATAACAGTACTATGCCATTACCTCACCTGAACTCTGCTTGGAGCCTTCCAACACTGAAAGATTGATAAGACTCACTGACATTGGAGGAAATAGAATTTGTATGCTTTATGAGATGCTGGCATATTGAGAATCAGACACACCAACACAATCTTCAACAACTATAACCGTCTTGGTTACTCGCAGCCAAATTTTAACGTTTCAAAAGGGCCCTGCTATTAAACATGAAAGGTCTTTCATCCCCTTGAGTACCTTTAAATGTACAATTCAGGCAAATATTATCGGCGCAAATGGTGTGCTTCAGAGCACAAGGCTGCAAATATCACGGTAACGAGGGTGCACGCTGCTTCTGATTACAGCAACATGCGAGCTTGGCCTAACTACAGACGGCATCCGAGATGGAGCCTAAACAATTCCAGCTGAATGGTTTGAGTGATCTCCCTGTGAACCCTGTCTTCCCTGCCAACCCTCCCACACTGACGCCAAACACTGGGAGAAAGCCAATCTCAAGGTGAAAAACACCACAAGTGATAGGAACCTGATATCACTGCATTGTGTTTTCAAGCCCTCGAGCAGTTTTCTGCAAATTCTAACTGCCGTCTGGGACCATCAAAGATTTAATTTCAACGGGAATATTCAATCCTTCCTCAGTGCAATTTTGTTTTCAAAGTTGTCTCCCTCATCCCAATTTCACCAGTGCTCAGGCAGGAAGGGACTTTCAAGTCTCGTCAGACAACAGAACCGAGAGGCACAGCAGCAGCTGACCAGATTGTTTCAACTTTAGTTACAAAGAAATCCATGAGCACATCTCGTAAATATCCAGCATTGATATCCATCTGGACTTGACACGCAAACATAAGAACTTATGAAGAAGGAGCATGAGTAGGCCACTCAGCCCTTTGATTCTGCTCTGCCATTCAATAAGATCACAGTTGATCTGATTGTAACCGGAACGCTACATTCCCGCATAATGCTGAGTGTGAGTGTTGCTGGCTGGATCAGCATTTATTACCCATCCCTAGTTACCCACGAGAGCTGTGAGCTGCTCCTTGAACTGCTGCAGTCCACTTGGTGCAAATACACCCACAGTATTGATAAGGACGGAGTTCCAGCAATTTGACCCAGTGACACTAGTGAAGTGATGATATATTTCCAAGTCAGGATGATGAGTGGCTTGGAGGGGAACTTGCAGGTGGAGGTGTTACCACGTACCTGTTGCTCTTATTCTTCTAGATGGTAGTTGTTATAGGTGTGGAAGGTGCTAAGGAGCTTTGGTGAATTTCTATCTTTTATCTCCTTGGTAATCAAGAATCTATTTACCTCCGTCTTAAAAATATTTTGACAAAACAGTTCTTCCTTTGTGGATATGCTCTCTTATCAAAACTTGATCTTGCTATAAGTCGTAAAGGATTTTGACAGCTCTCTGCCTGAAAGCATATGAGAGGCAGTAACCCTCACTCCATTTGAAAAAAAACCATGAACATGCACTGGACGTGATTTTATATACAGAATTGTGGACGAGTGACTGAAAGGGAGGATTTGGCCTGTCTGCTAAAACCAGTGCAGGAATCTGTGCTTATTTCTTCCAACATAAACAGCATATAATCTTTCAGCTATCTGCTCATTTAATTTGAGCTGTGAGCAGTCAGGACTAATTGTTCTGTTGAGTGGCTACACACTATAAGAGGGGGCAAAAGACCATAGCAGGCCATACCACTTAAAACTAGCCTGCACCTTTTAAAGGGAGGTTTATTTTGGTAGGATCTGCATCTGGAAATGGACATGATGGGCTGAATGGCTTCTGTATTGAAATGTTTCTATGAAACGGTAATCGGAAATGAATGCGGTAATATCACCATTACAAATACAAACGTAGTTAAAACAGTCTGCATTGGATTTATAACTAAGCTTCTGATGTCAAAATAATGTGTTATCGATGTAGTTGATAGTCCAAATTTATCTGACCACAAGGGAGAAGACAGGGCAGGCTCAATTTTATCCTAAAATAAAAGCAAAATATTGCAGATACTGGAAATATGAAATCATATCAACAGCCTCAGGCGACTGTCTGTGTGGAGTTTGCACATTCTCCCCGTGGCTGCGTGGGTTTCCTCCGGGTGCTCCGGTTTCCTCCCACAATCCAAAGATGTGCAGGCTAGGTGGATTGGCCATGCTAAATTGCCCGTAGTGTTCAGGGATGTGTAGGTTAGGTGGGTTACAGGGGGATGGGTCAGGGTGGGATGGTGTGAGGTTTGGTGTGGACTTGTTGGGCCGAAGGGTCTGTTCCCATACTGTAGAGATTCTATGATTCTATGAGAAAGTGTTGGAAAATCTCTGTAGGTCTGGCAGCAAATGTGGAGAATGAATAAGGGTTAACATTTTGAGTCCAATATGGATCTTTTGCAGAAGAAGCAGATGCTACCAGATCTGGTGGCAAACATCACACTGGCTATATTTTTCCACCAGGTTTTTTATTTCAAATTTGTCCTCATCAGCTACTAGTACACAGAACATGACCATTGATCAACCTATAATGAGAGATCTGCTAACCATTTCATATGTCACTATTTTCTACAAAAGGAGAATAATTCAGACTTTAAAGCAATTGGGGAATTAAAGTTGAAGATGATGAAACACATCAAAACTTCACAGTGGCCTCTAGAGTTCCTAAAGCATTAAATGAGAGAAAAGAAATCATTCATTTCCACAGAGGTTAAGCAATGCATTTAGTCTCATATGAGGATATGTTTTGAACAAATAATCCCCAGTTGGAACAAGTCATTATAATGTACTAAAAG